GAACCAACAAACAAGTTGATAGGGAGCAACCTTCTTAGAACCGAAGATGATCTTAAAGGGAAGAAAGAAAAGGAATCGGAGGCTCCTTAGAAAAAATAAGCCAGAGAAGAATACTACAGATCTCCCTAAAAAGGGAAAATGTTGCTAAGAGTCAAATAGGAAGCAACTGAAGCAAAGAAAAATAAAGCAAAGAAATATCGGGTAGAAGTATCAAAAGTTGATATCTTAAAGTTTCAATTTGCATCATCTGTCATTCCTGAGCTCGACATCTCTAAGGAAGAAGTCGAACTAGCTCAAAAGGAGAATGAAGAAAACAATTTTCTCGCTGAGCAACTAGCAAATGAGGAAGCCCACAAAGCCTAGGATAGTGATCCATTGAATGCCCAAAAGTTTGAAATGGGAAATGTAGAGAAAAATAAGGAAGAAAATAAGAGGTCAAGAATTAAGTGGTATAATGAGTCAGTGATCGACCGGTATATTCCATTGGTAATAACCAATATCTGAATCAATGGACCGAAGATCTTTGCTAAGGATCCTTAAAAAATAACCTTGGAAGTCAATAGAGCAAATGGAGCTAACCATCCCGAAAAGATATTGCGGTTACACACTTATGGGCTGAGTGAATGGGCAGAAATGCTTATACTTTTGAAGGAGGGTAAGAACCGATATAGAGACATGGTGATCGTTCATCTATATTTCTAATCAAGAAGCTCACCTCAATTTAGAAATATAATAGGCTAAAGCCTACACCAGCCGAAACTGATCAACTTCAAAATCTTCATAAACTTTCTCTTACCCCAACCAAACCTAAGACAAAGTCAGCGAAAACTGGTTCGATATTTCGAGAGCTTGCTAAGGATGGAAAAGTTCTCGATATCTCCTCTCTTGATTTATCAATCCTAACTGTGGCAGCTAATCCTGTAGGGACTATCATTCATGATTTGATCTACGGAATTTTCTTTGAAGACACACTCTGGAATATTTGATGTTTTAGAGCTTCAGAAATTTCTACAGCTGATAGTCACTTTCTCCTTGACATGCTCAATAATGTACTGTATAATGAATACGGTAGAACCTTCTATGCTCTCCTGAGAAATGAGCTAAAGAGTAGAATGTTGAGATCCCTTCCTTCCTTTCCAAGATCTTGAAGTCTAAATTTAGGATCTTTTATGTTCTCGTTTGTAATCTATTATGTACTTGTAATTTTTTTTGTTTAAGTAAATACAAGTATTCCTTTTTAAACTTCCATATTATACATATTTAAATTTCATTTATTCCATTGTATGTATCGGATACTCTAACAAATACAAAATAAAAAACAATGACCTATATGAAAAAGAGCCCAAAAGAGTAAAGAAAGGGGTCAAAAGAAGATATGAGCTACCCTTATATTTTACTCATTTTCAAGGTATTTGATGTTATCATCAAATAAGGGGAGAGTTGGTTCACTGATAATTTGTTGATGACTCTCTGACTTATTCCTCTAATTTCTTAGGCATTTATAGTATGACATATTTTTGGTTCTTTTAATTACCTTGGTATGTACTAAAACAATTTCACGACTCGAAGACTAGCCTATTCTCAACTGAAGTGCATATGCAGATGCAATCGAGATGTACTATGAAACTTGCGTACCAAATTTTCTCCAGCCGATATACTTTATCGGATAGTCCTACTGACTATCAGCCGATAAAAAGGAAATAAGAAAATGTTGAACCTTCTTAGTGCTTTGATGATGACTCACCCAGACACTTAGCTATTTATGTTGTATTTTTTTTTTTTTTTTGTAAATGTGTTCAACATCTGAACACTTTCAGGGCTCACTTAATGTTCACTCAGTGATAAGCATAGTTCCTACTTAATGATTCGTCTATTAGTGATTACTCAGCGACACCAAATTAAGTTATGTTGAAGATGTAGCTTAAGATAAAACTAGAACAAGCTAAAGCGATTTTAGAAGATCTGCCTATCTGAATCAAATGAGCATTGATCAGCAAGAAGCTCAGTAGGTGTTGAAGATACCTTCAGCTTCCCCTCACTGTAGTTGAAACAAAATCTTGCAAATCAAGTTTTTTTCTTCTCTCTATTTGCAAAAGTGAGAACCATGCAACTACGTGACAAAGGTACAGTATGACATATGCATTATTATCCCCTTTTATGGATGACCACTATCCTGGTACACTGTTTACTAGTGGCCAAAGCTGTCCAGAAAAAAGGACAAGCAGATTGCGGTTCCCCCTTCTCATGTGACACATTGCATGTACCTGTTTCAATGCATTAAATGCCTTTGGTATAAATACCAATGAAAATCTCTCTTTCCCGTGTGCCTTCAAGAAGATAAATTTTACGTGTAATTTTTGAAATAGTGAACTATGTGAGCTTTTGCTAGAGATTCTTAGTGTTATCTCATGTATTGAAGTAAGATCATTTTATATTAGATATTCCACCTTATCTTTTCTCGAAAACAATATGTAAATTCATTGATTGATTATTCTATATGATCAATAAGAGTTTATAAAGTAAAATCAGTATTTGTATATAACCCCCATCCTTCTACAAATTGTAGCAGCCTTGTTTTCTCCTTCAGGACCAACAAAAAACCTGATGTTATCATATCCAAACACTCAGAATAAACACTAATCTATCGATTTTCTCATCAAACCAAAACTTTTTAGATTTAGAAGAATAAAATAGTAGAAACTTTGATGTACATCTTTAGTGTTGCTTCTGGTCTTATAGGATCGACAAAACTTGGAAAAATAGATCTAGGGTTTTGTCAGTAGCATCAACGATTGATCTCTAAAACCATTAGCCAATAATGAAGATCGCTTCATGATGCTTCTAAAATTTGAGCTCGTTGATTTCGATTTGGGAAAAAGATGATTAGATTTAGGGCTTTAATGAATGAAGAGAGAGAGAGAGAGGAAGTCACAACAACGGACGGAGGCTAGAACAGAGATGGTTGTGGGATAGCGCATATGCGAGTTCTTGATGATATATTTTGTTATATAGGTAGCTTTTGGTGTTATTCTAACCATTTCAACGAGAGTTTCATATGATATATTTTGTTATATATTTATATTTATTTTGAATATTTAATAAATTACATTAAGTAATCAAAATATAATAGTAACATATTTGGTAAAAAAAAATTGATTAGAAAAAAGAAATCACCAACCAGTTGTAGAAGATCGACCAATTGCAAGAAAAAAAGCTACAAAATTCCCTTTGAGAAGTTACTGAAATAGGAAAAGTCTTGAAAAGGGTTATGTATCTTTTGTGTTATGGTAAAAAAAAAAAAGCCTTCGAACATCGGTTTGATGGTAAACAAAGGAAAATTGATCAAAATAGTCATTTTTCTTATATAAATTGGTTTCCTAGTTATTTATCTTCCTGATTTATCCAAATATCACTACTACGTCTCACGTCCACTACTTGTGGACCTAGTTAAAAGACAAAAAAAGTTAAATTGTAGACCTGGCCGTTTTGTAGATCTGGCCATCAAAATTGCGGAGCTAGGTCCAATGTATTTTAACTGGGTGCACGAGTGGTGGACGTGGGATTTGCAAACGTAGTAATATTTGGGTTAATCATGGAGAAAAATGGCTAGAAGACCAATTTATACGAGAGAAAATGACTATTTTAATCAATTTCCTTGAACAAAATTTCAAACAAAAGTTATTAAATATTTTGATTAGAGGTTACTTGTCGTAAATACTAAATAAAGTTTTTTGAAACTAGATCTTCTAAAACAAAAAACAAAACAAAGTAAGTTTATCTTAATACAATTTAATTAGTGACGGGGTGAGTTCAAATGAGAACATTCGTATTACACGAAAACGTAAGAACGTACATGTCACATGTGCGATATACATATAAACTAAGCATCTGTTTGTTAGTACATTGATAGGTTTAATAAAATTTACACCTTATTCGATCAGCTATACATGACTGTTTTGTAATGACTTAATGGTATAGAATGTGGCTTATTCAGAATTGAACTATCATTGAACCATGTAAGGTTTTGTATTTTTACCGGCTTTTTTTTTTTAATTTTGAGATTTCTTTTATAAATATTTTAGAAGATATTTAATGAGAATGATGGAGCTGCTTGGCTAAAATATAAAACAATAAAGGGGGGTGTTAGGTTTTTGTGGAGAAGGTCGGTTCATACGTCGCCGTTTGGATTTACCAAAAAGGATAATGACGGATTACGACGGCTAACCAAACCGCCTGGAAAATGGAAATAATTAATCGTTTGATTCTAACATCCGAACAAATTATATTTTAATTAAATAATAACAATAAAATTATAATTAAATATTTCTTATTATAAATTAATATTAAATAATCTATTAATTAAATAATTAAAATAAATTAAATATTTAGACTTGAAGTATTTTAGTAAATTTATATGGTTTGTTTCTAACGTATTTTATATTTACAATTTAATAATTATAAGTTTAAAAATATATAATAAAATTATCGTAATTCAAAAAAATAAAAAATTTCAATACATTTATTTTTAAATATATATTGTATAATTAAAATAGTATAAAATTATTAATTTAATTTATTAATATTGTCAATTAGATCAAATTTAAAATCCAAAAATATTATATAAGTATTAAATTATATATACAATATATATAAAATTTAAAAATACAAAATACAGTGTCACTACCAAACGGGGGGTTATTTCCGGCGGTCCTATCCGTCGGAAATCCACCAGAAATTAAGATATCCGGGGGATAGGGCCGCCAGAAAAATTGGCGCTAGTAATTTATTTTCCGGCGGAGCCACCAGCAGATTTGACCATTTTCCGTCGGATCACGGCCGCCGAAAACTTCTCGCTGGTTTATTTAAAAGTCCATCGGAAATGGCGTAGAAAATACTCATTATTTTAGTAGTGTGTAGTGCGATTTGAAACACAGTTTAATAACTCAAAACTGCAAATCGCACCACAAAACAGTACGGTGTAAGCGGTTTATACAGTTTGACGGTATGAATGAACACCTCTACAAAGTCCAAAATGTGAAAACTTGCAAAATACACATTTAACACAAAGAAAAAATATTTGTGTATTAATTAAACTATGAATCGTGTATGAATAACATTAAGGAGCTCAAACATGATATTGTTCTAACTGAACATCTTTTCCACTCAAAGGCTCGTACTCACCAAGATAGCTCTCCAAATGGTTCGACAGATCTCCCTTATCGATGTTTTCATGGTGATACGATTTGCAGACCAGATACAGAACCGTCTGAATCACCAACCCACAAAGAAACAACGTCAAAAGTAGCACAAAGCTCACCACTCCAAACCCTACCCTCTTCCATACCTGCAACGACCTCCCATGAACAACCAGATGCTCAAACAAATAGTGTATCAGATAGAAAGACAAGTTCAACATAAAGAAAATCGAAACCGCAACGGTTCGGTTTCCTTTGATCAAATCCTTGCTCTTCGCCATAGCTTTAATCCCGTACGAGCTCTCAAGAACTGAAACTACGCTCGCCAGATGCCATACAACAGTTAGATACACAAACCCTATTACGTATACAGCCAAGACGACGTAAAAGAAGATGATTCCAAAAGCGGTATTAGAAAAAGCCACCAGATCAATCGCCAGGATCACCACAGTGATGAAATTGTAAACGAAGATGGCTGCAAACATGCACAGAAAAGTGACAACAAGTCGTTTCCAGACTTTTGGGACGATGGTGAGGACTGTACGGAAGGTGAAGTCGCGGCCGGTGTAGATGGAGGCGATGGTGTAGACGACGGCGGCGGTGGAGAGGAGGGATAAGATGAGGAGGATGGTGAAGTAGACGACTTTGAAGAGCAAAAGGGTAATCCATTCCGACGAGAGGGCGTCGGAGAGATTGTTGTATCGTTTGGTGCCGGGACGACTGAAGTTTTTTTCGTACGAGGTGTGTACGATGTCACGAAACAGTAAGTTGGAGATCTCGAGATCAGCTAAGAAGATGAAGGTTAAAGGGAGGATAAGGGTTAGGGTTATCTGGGTGAAGATTTTTCGCCATGAAATGATGACTTTGAAGCTTTCTTTGAAGATGCCAAAGAGGCCTAGAAATTGCATCTGTTCTTGTTCTCTATCCATGGAATGGAAACGTGAACAGAGACGGAAACAATGAAAATGGAATGGAAATGAGAAATGGGAATTGGAATTGAAGTTTAATGGGGTTGATGGTGTTGACTTGGAATTTTCTACCAACAAAGTACCCTTGGATTTCATGGTAATTACCAATGTGCCACCAGCCACTCTATCAATGTATGCGTTTGTTGCAACGACGTTTAAGGATTATTTGTGTTTTTTTTTATTGTTTTATTATAATTTTAAGAGTAAATTATGGATTTGGTTCATATGGTTTGGTGGTTTTTACGAAAATGATCTTTGAACTTCATTTATTATAGGTTAGAGTAGGCATAGCAACGAGACAGGGATGGGGCGGGTTTTGTAATCCCCAGCCTCGGCTCCGGTTTGTAGTAAACCCCCCTGGCCCCGGTCCCCGGCGGGTAAGGGGATTATCATCTCGTCCCCGGTCAAATCTCTAGAAATCCCTAGTCAAAACTCGGTAAATCCCCAGTCAAACCCCATAAATAGTATTATTTAGTTTGATTCTACCGGGGATCCCCGGCCCCAGTTTGAGTAACATCCCCCATCCCTGTCCCCGGTTTGAGTCTATCGGGGATCCCCGGCCTCGGAACCCGTTTTAGCAGGGAATCCCTGCCCTTGTTCGGGTCGGGTGAATCGGGTTCCTCACAGGGTCGAGGCAAATCACCATCCCTAGGTTAGAACTCGTCGTATGTTGTTTTGTAACAAATTGGTTCCTCCTTCTAACGTCCATCCAATTCCTCTATTAACTCTGAAGGCACTTCATCCTTTTCCCTTTTTTATCTTTACTTGAGGGACCAATTTCGCAAAACTCACACAAATCACAAGGACCAAATCCGTAATTTACTTTAATTTTAACATAATTATTTTTTTACTTAAGAAACTAATTTCAATTCATTTAAGTGCAATGAATAACTAGGTTATATTTTATCATTAATATGTTAAATGGATAAAATCAGAAAATTTGGATTAACAAAAATCCAAATCTGATAGTTCTTATGAGAACCTTCTTTTTATGGGTCCTATTGACTCTTTCAGCATTAATAATTATTATATTAATAATCATACAGTCAATAAAATAAAAAATAAGAAAAATTGTCACTTTTTACAAAATTCATGGTAAGAATCAAGGTTCTTGTTCAAGCACCTAGAGGATATGAGGTTCTTATAAGAACCTCTTCACAATAGTACGTAGTTTTTACAAGTCAGTACACTTTTTGCTAATAAGAACCTTGCTTTGGAGATGCTCTAATCCATTATATTTTTATGTTTAGTCAAGTATGGAAAAATCAAACAACAACCTCAAAAAATTGTGTACTAATGATATAACAGTGTATTATTTCACGGTATTGCTTCACATGTAAAACAATACAATATCATTTCACATCTGAAAAAGTTATACAACCTTAAATAGACTTAGATGAAACTTCTTAGCTGGTTGAGATTGGTATTTACAGTTCTCAACATTATTTTGGTTGCTCATTTTTCTCTTTATTAGGTTTGGTTAATATGTTTATATTTTGTGTCGACCGAAGCCCAAACTAATTCACCAATTTCTTTTCTAATTTTAAGGTTTTACCCATTGGGACGTAGGGGTTAGGGTTTCTTAATTATCACAACTCAAAGTAGTTAAAAAGATTAAAAAAATTCAGAACTCATCTCCGCTCAACAAAAATATGCATTGTGTTGAGCCCCCAATTAAATGTGATCTGATGATGAATATACACATTGATCCAACACTTAGTCAAAATATGGAGAAATTATTTGAGCTGAGCATTGGCACTGATTGACTATATTGGTAACACTAAAGCTCAGTAGCTGATGGTACTATCACTCCCTACTAACGTCGAAGATCAACCACTGATGGGCACATGCATTTGAAGATCAGTACCCGATTCACCAAAAGAAGTATTGAAGAGTTATTAAAGGATATTGGATGGAGATATTGCACTGATAAGCTATATGCTTAAAATTATTTGTGCTTGAGTTGTTAAGCACCTGATGAAGATATCAGTAGGAAGCCTTAGGGGCTGTTTGGCAAATGCTGAATGGTTTGGTGCAGAATGATTAAGTGGTCAGAATGATTAAAAGGCTCTCATGATATAGTGCAAAATGAAATATAATTGTTTGATAATTGTGTACAATGAAATTAGGGCTCTTAATGGTCAAGGGAGATTCAGGATACAAAATCATTCAGAGGGTTTTAGAACCATTAAGAGACAGACTTTTCTTTGGCAAACAAGATTCACTTAACGATTCAGAGTTGCCTCTTAATGGAACTATTAAGAGGTAAACAAACAACCCCTTAGTACTTGATCCTACACTAGTTGAACACATAATTGGATCTCGAGTGGTTGAGGAAGCCACTGACAACTAGGCAAGCCCTTTACCACTAAAGCCAAGTATTGGAGTCATCTAACGATGTTTTATCTAATTCAACTACAAAAGGTGCCTTGTTCAACAAAAAGGACTTCAAGCCCCCAAGACTGTAAGGATCATAGGGATATCGTCTAGCACGATTTCTCATTCGTATACCAGAGCCAGTGGCTAATGCTACATTGCATACATGTGTCCTTCCTTATTGGTAAAAAAATGAGCTTTGTGTGAAGAAGCAATATATGCAAAGATTGAGCTAAAAGAGCAGAGCATTCAAGAAATCAAGCCATCTTTGTACCAGTTGAAAATTCCCAAATTCAATGAATTGCTCACGACTGTTTACACTACTTTAGTTAGAACAAATCTAGGTCGAGTAAGATTTCTATGTTGGTACCTTTTGGGTTATATTTGTCAAAGAGTAGAAGTTGTTTAGGCAATTAATCACTTGATTCTTTGTTTATTTCCACAACAAATTATTGAATTGTGAAATGAAAATTTAATAATAAAAAGTATTAATCTTTGAAATTACTATTTTTACCCCCTCGACATTTTGTATAGTGCATATTGTTACCTTCAGAACCTAACAATTGGCATCAAAACAAGGTTGAAATCTAATAAATTTAGGAGAAACCCAACTAATCTAATCATTCATTGGAAGTTAGATTTTGTAAATCGATCCAAAACAAATAAATTTGGAGAGTAAACTCTAATTTTGGCCCTTGGGGTTTAGTGAGAAGTTTGAAAGTGGGACCTGAATTTTGATATGTTTAAAAATCATCCTTATGGTTTTCATTTTACTCTGAAAGTGGTTCCTAACCACTAACTCCATTAAAACAATGTCCGTTGAGTAGGGGAAGTTTAGTGGCTTTACTAATTTAGTTGTCTTTTTCAGTTTTTGTCTTTTACCTATTAACCACTTCTTATTTTTTCCTACTAAAAAATAGAAAAATAATATTTAGGGGGTGTTTGGGATTGCTTATTTGAAACAACTTATGTTTTTCTATAAAAGTACTTATCAACTTATTATAAGTTAGAAATGTTTAACTTCTTCAAAAACTTTTTATCACCGGTTTGACACCGGATGCTCTAACCATGTTTGTCACTCAAGAATGAAACATGTTTCTATTGACTTCCACTTCATTTGGGATCAAGTTCAGAAAGGAATTCTCAGGGTTGCCCATGTCTCTTCAACTAACCAGCTTTTCTGATATGCTTGGCATGCCACTGCCAAGAGCTCTGTTTTTTGGTTCTTCAGGACAAGATTGGCCTCTCATCTCACCAGAACCCTACCTTAAGATTTAACCTACTAAGTATAATGTAATTAGTACAAATATATTTCTATATAAATAAATTGAAGCTAATGATCGTGTGAGAATGACAGTTATGAAGCATACGAAGAGATATGGACTCTTGATCACCCTTAATCTCAAACCCACTGATGAATCGCGCTTGATACGGTGATTGATCCAGTGCATTTTGGTGAATCTCATCCTTATGTGCATTTAAAGGTGAAGATCCCTTTTTACGCTTCTAATCTTAACTCTCATTTTCATCGGAACCCAACTCTTAAGATTTAACAACGTAAAGAAATTGCAATTATTAAAAAAACATAAAAAATAATGATACTTGCGTCAAATTATAGAAAATAAAACGTTCGTTTCTTATATAATTTTTTGATTTAAAATTTTATTTTAAATTAATATAATTTTGATGGTCGTCATTCTCGACTATGGATCAAATGTCAAATGCTTAACATACCCCTTTCAACTTATCATTTATCTAATAATTAGTTTCAAAGTTTATAAATATTACAAAAATATCATTATTTTCCATAACCGTAGATTAAATTCAATTAATAATTAAAATTGATTCTCACGATTTCTTAACCATTTTTTAATCCTCACATAATTTAATTCTTATATTATAATATTAAATAATGATATTGATTGTATAAGGATAATATTGTAATTTCATTGAAGTTGAAGGGTATATGGGTGGGTGGGTGGATGGTTCCATAAATGCCGTCTACGCGGGGTTTGATAAGGTCGTCGTAGTACACGCCAACGACGCAATGGAAGGTTCCTATTTCTTTCCCAAAGTCTTCGTCTCATTATATTTTGACCATTCAATTCCCTTCTTCAAGACCATTTCAACCAATTGTTTTTATTTATTTAATAAGAAAATTCATTTTTAGTTTTAAATTTTTATTAAATTAAATTGGAAAGAATAATAAAATATTTAACATAAATTTTTAAAAATCATTTTTTATATATGAAGTATTGAATCATTTTTTATATATTTTTATATATGAAGTACTGTTTATTGATGTATATTACTTAAAATTTAAGATTTACAAGTAAATTGTTCGTAAGTATAACTTATTAAAATTTCATGTTTGAATTTATATAACTAACTGTCGATAAACATAATAAAAAAATAGAAGATAAAAATATTTCATTTTAAATATAAAAAATTTAAAATATAATTAGAATAATATTGAGTTCTAACAGAATATTTAATTATTATTATTATAAAAAATTATATTATCAACGAAAAAATAAATTAATTCGTTATTAAATCTAAATTAAAAAAAATTGAATTAAGAAAATTACATAAAAAAAC